TTCAAGCCAGTTCCTGCCCCTCTGTGGGCCACAGTTTCCTCATGTGAATGGTGGAGGGATTGGACTAAATGCGCTCCCAGGATGCCTTCCAGCCTTCTCACTCCCTGACCCTCTAACTGTTCTACCTGCTGTAATTCCACTATGGGTACAGATCAGCATTTCCCAAAGCATGGTGCCCAGATGCCTCTACCGGAAAGAGATGGTGGTATTTGCTTAAAATGCAGGTTCCTAGGCCACACCTAGACCACAGTAAGGTTTGGGAATCACCAATACAGTTTAATAACAACAATTCCATTTTAACTTGAATTGGGAAGGGATGAGCAATGAGGTATAAATTTTCTGGAAAGCAATCCATTTAACAAATAGGTATTGAATGGCTGCTGGGTGTCAGGCGGTATTCTAGGTCAGTGGACACATTGTTGAACAAGACAGCTCCTGTCCTCATGGAGCTTACACTCCAGTGAAGGAGAAATAAAGTAAACAAATATATATCTGCAGTGATGCCACTAGCAGGAGAAGAGGAGTTTTATGGTTTGAGGTTGTTTTTTTTTTTTTTTTTTTTTTTTTTTTTTTTTTGGTGGGAGGGGTGCGGGATGGAGGTAGATCAGAGAAGAAAAATTTGGGGGGGTGGAATATATACATTGCCAATTTTTAAAATGTCTCTTTTTAAAGTGTAAGAATGTAAGAATATGTATACATAGTTTGACTCATAGAATGATCACATCTATAATTTTTAGAGACATAAAAACTCAGAGAAATGGGGAGAAAAACATGTCCTTCGAGTATTTTACTTATTTAGCCAGGGCTGAAAGTGAGATAGAGTAAATATTAGATTCCACACTGCTATTAAAGCCTCACGTGGATAATTTTTTAGGGATGGTGTTCTCCAAGGGTCTCACTTAATTCCTATACAAATCATTTATTTAGACCTGGGCTATTGCTGAAGTCTGACTGGTATGGCTGTGTCAGTGCCATAAGGGATGTGCAGACTCATTTTAGATTAAAGAATACTCATTACTATTTTTTTCAGCTCTAGATCCTTATTCTAGGTGATTAGAAGAAATCTTCATTAGGCATTGGCTGTTAGTAAATGTAATACTGTGTCTTTGACTAGTGATAAAGCCAGAGTTTTGATAGATCAATGATCCCTATAGGCTGAAAAAATTAGCATAACCAGGAAAAAAAAAAGTTCATTTTAAAAACCTTTCTGTATTTGTCCTATGTCTGACTGACATGACTGATAAAAAAAAATTCTAGATTTTCTTTGTTGAACCCTAAACTTACCTAGCAATGTAGGAGAGCACAGAAGCAGAGCTGGGGGGGTCCAGTTCTTCCAATTTCAGGTCAGTATTTCTTGGGTGAGTTTTTTCTAAACTGCTAGGCCAGGCAGAGAAAGAATCTAAAATGTTGTGTTCCATTTTGTTGAATCTTATGTCCAGTAGAAGAGATTTTTCTTTTCTTCCTGAATTGGATGCTGAACCTCCAGTTACCCCCAAGTTACTGGTGGCTCAGGCAGAGTCCAGTTTGGCTCCAGAATTCTGGGACTTGGACCAGAATCACTGCAGGTGAAGCCCAGAGGATCTGGCTGGAGTCTGGCGGGCCAAGCTGGCTGGATTTCCTCCTTGCTGGGCTCCATCAGAGAAAAGTACACACGCAGGGTAGGCAGGGGCTTCACTTCCCTGTGTGCAGGAGGCATGAAATGTGAGCCCAGCAGGGGCAGAGGCCTGCAGAGGACCCTGGGTGAAATCTACGCGCTCTGTTGGACTCTGAACAAATGTTGGAAGCAGAGAGATTGTTGAGTTGTGAGCCATGGTTTCAGGGAGGTCAGTGCAGGAGGGAGCAGTTAGATCCCATTCCCAGTGTTCTCTCCATTTAACCACACTGTTTTAAAACAAAATAATGCTGAATCAGTGCCAAACCTGGCAAAAACATCATACCTGGTGTAGTTTAGCAACATTTAGAATCATTGGATGCAAGAGCCAGAGGGAATCTTAAGGATCAGCAAGTGCATTGGAGTCCTGTTTCAGAGGCAGAAACAGACCCAGGTTAAGTGACTTGTCTAGAGCTGCACAGCAAGTCAGTGCCAGAGCCTGGCCGAGGACCCCATGGCCTGCTGCCTGGTCTAACATACTTTCCTCTACTACAGATTCCCACTCACTTGGGAGTTTCACATGTCATGCTGTCACCTTTTAGAAGAGAGATCTGTCCTTCATTTCATCCTGCCCTTGCAGAAAGTGGAAAAAAAAATTAAATCCCTTTTTCCACTCTCCTCCAGTTAAGAGTGTGTGTGCCGAATGGAGGTAGTGGGAGGTGTCTTTAGCACAGGATCCTGCCACCATCCTTGAATAGCCTTGGGAAGGAGAACTGCTTCCGCATCCTGGACTTTGCTCCCATGATCCAGTACATCACAGAATATTCAGAGCTTCCTTCCAGGCACTGTGTGGGATTGTTGGGAACATAGGAGCCAGGGCACTGAACTGGACCACATGTTATAGGATCTTTGAAAGTCAGGGCTGAAAAGTAGAAACCTTCAGCTTCAACCCATTCCCCCATTTTGTAAAGATGGAAGCTGAAAGACAGTGATAGTTCCAAGTATCCTGTTCTCAATATCGTCACTGTCATCATTTGTTAAACATGTTTATATATATCAGGCCCTTCACATGTATGATCAAATTTCATCATCACAACAAAATTTTGAGTAAGGTATTATTATCCCCATTTTACAAAGGAGAAAACTTGAGGTTCAGAAAAACGAAATGACACTACAGGTATTTCACAAATTAAGGGCCATAACAAAATTGGGATTAAAGTGGCTGGGCTCTTTGTCTGATGTTTCTTTAATTACTCCATACTGCTTTTTTGTAAAAACACAAAAACAAAAACAAAAAGACCAAATTAAAACAAGTGCCTCATTTCCTCTTACCTAGGTAGCTCTACAATAAACACCTAGATGCTTATTGGCTGTTTCTCTTCCAACCATGTTAGGGCATTGTGGCAAACCTAAACGCTCTCCTGACTACTCTTTCATTGAAAAACCATTCAACACCTATTTATTGAGGGTTTGTTATGTGGCAGTTACTGTGCTCTTGACAGAAACATAGGGCCAATGAATACATATCTGGAGAGCTCCAATTAGAGGAAAGCAAAATGCTTTTTAAAGACTGCAAAAACCATCCCACAAGCTACCAACTGGTAGTATCAGACATGCCCACAGCCAGGAGGAGCAGGACTTGAAGTCACAGGGACAGTTTAAATCCTGGCAGTACCACTGTTGGTTATGTAAACTGGAAAAGTCTCTTGGCTTCTCTGAGCCTCAGTTTTCTCTTTTGTAAAATAAGGATTAAAAATCTCTGCTCCGTGAGGATCAATTGCAAGAAGGGATACAAAATCACACACTGTGTTAATGTGAAGGAAATGATGTGGACAGTTACATGACTGTTTCTGCATATCTCTTAAATCTGTGTTGTTTGTTGTACCTTGATTATTATCTCACTATATCAGTCTTCCTACCTGAAGCAGCAAAGTTTTTCCTCCAGTCCTTAAAAAAAAAAAAAACCTTGATTCTACCAGAATATCTAAAAGTTGAGTAGACTTTCTTCCCACTTGTACCCTTCTACTCTAGGGACTGGATCAATGCCCCGTTCTGCACCATGTTTGGCTATTGAGCACTTGAGATATGGCTGGTGTGACAAAAGAACTGAATTTTTAATTCTATTTAGTTTTCATTAATTTAAGTAGCCACAAACCCTGAGTCTGATGGCACACAGCTTCCTGGGCTCTGCTGAAGAGCCCTCCGGTTCCACCACTTCTTTTTTTTTTTTTTTTTCTCTTTTTATTTCATCATATTATGGGGGTACAAATATTCTTAAAGTTACATATATTGCCCTTGCCACCCCCCCACACTTCTTGGTTCGTTTTATCTCACAGAATTCCATTGGTAGCAAGAAAAATCATTCTTTCTCCTATTGGTTATTTCTATGATTCCCAAATTTCAGTGTGTATGAGAATCACCTGAGGGTCTTAATGAAAGTTTGGCAGGCCTATCCCCAGATTTTCTAATTTAGTAGGTCTGGGCTGGGACGTGAGATGGTCATTTCTAGTGCATTCCTGGGTGCTGCTGATGCTGCTGGTCTGGAGAGACACTCTTTGAGAACCACTGGGTTAATATAGCACGTTGGGCAGGGCTCAGTGGCTCATGCCTGTAATCCTAGCACTCTGGGAGGCCAAGGCGGGAGGATCATTTGAGCTCAGGAGTTTGAGACCAGCCCCAAGCAAGAGCGAGACCCCATCTCTACTAAAAATAGAAAGAAATTAGCTGGACAACTAAAAATATAGAATTTAAATAGCCAGGCATGGTGACGCATGCCTATAGTCCCAGCTACTCGGGAGGCTGAGGCAGGAGGATCGCTTGAGCACAGGAGTTTGAGGTTGCTGTGAGCTAGGCTGATGCCACGGCACTCTAGCTCGGGCAAAAGAGTGAGACTGTGTTCCAAAAAAAAAAAAGTTTTGCACCTTGTTGGGAGACAGCTGTGCTACAGTGGAACCAGCAGACCCTGAAAACCCATATGGGCGCAAACCCTTGGGGTAGTGTTTCTCAGTTGGGCTACACTTTGGAATCACTGAGGAAGCTTTTAAAATTTCTGATGCCTGGGTCCCACCCCAGCCCAATTAAATTAGAATCTCTGGGGGTAGGACCTGGACAAGAGTGTTTTTTTAACTCTCCAGATGATTGCAGTGCACAGTCAGGACTGAAAACCACTGCACTAATGCGACTTAAGCAAATTTCTTTGTCTATTAAGTGACACAATTTGCTCTCTCTCTCTGTATCACAGGGCCATTGTGAGAATCAGAAGAGATTGTGAATGGGAAAGGGTTTTCTAAACTGTAGGACCTAGAAGTAAGGATTTAGGCATTGACAGGCTTGGAAGAGCCAATATGCAAATGATGATATTGTCCCCATTGAATCAGGATAATGATGCTCTCTCTGGTTTGCATTCTAGTACTGTCCCACTGACCAGGCCACTACAGGCACAGATGCTGAGCATGTACAACAATTCTACAACCTTCTGACAGACTCCGTTGACGTATCCAGAAGCTGGGCAGAAAAGATTCCAGGATTCACTGATCTCCCCAAAGAAGATCAGGCATTACTTATAGAATCAGCCTTTTTGGAGCTGTTTGTCCTCAGACTTTCCATCAGGTAATTACTATTATTTTTTCTTCCTTTAGCCTACCCTTTCCTTTGAAGAAGGTTGAAAGCTTCTGTGTTTGTAACTGAATCATCAGTGAAAAGTTTGCTCAAGAAGCAAATATGAAATGTGATCAGAAATTCAAAAAACTGAGCAGTGCGTAATGGAAAGAGCACTGGCCTGGCTGCCAGGACCGCTGAATTCTAGTCCCAGGTCCAATATAGACTTGCTGGGGGGCAGGCCACTTGTCTCACTGCACACTCAATTCCCTCCATCTAAAATGAGAAGGTTGGATTTGGTGATCTCTCTGAAGCCCCTTGCAGCGCCAATATTCTATGATTTTAGAAACATTCTCATAGTATGTAAGGTATTTCCTGGGAGTAAGTATTTGCTTTGGAATAGGGTTTCTGTTTAACAAGTTGCTGTTTTAGTCCACCTGATGGGACTCTACAGAGTTCCCACAGCTTCTTAACCCCCAGTGTTTACTCCAAGGGAACAAGCTCCTGGACCCAAAGATTTGGCCCAACCTGTCATACTCAGTGACATCAAACACATAAAGAAGTGATTTTTCAAAAAGCTAGAACCTCAGATCTAAGCTCCTCTCATAAATTCCACATGTAGCTTTTAAAGGAAACTTTATTTATCACTATTTTCATTTTCACACATAGCATGTTTAATTCCATCTTCCTTGCTTGCTTTCAGTTATATATTTTTAGGAGATGGTACCAACATTTCACCAAATATTACAGGAAAACTCATCATTCTCCTCTTTCTCTTTCCTACCACCCTCTCCCCAATTTCATACTATGTTACCAGAAACTCCTGTTTCAAGTGCAGGTTCTCATGCCTCATTCCCATCTATTTTGGTTTGCTAGACCTTGGGAGAAGTCCAGACGTCTGCATTTTCCACTCATGCTTAGGTGATTCTGATGCTGGTGGTCAGGGGTCCATGTGTTTTAAAGATTGGATCATTCTGTCCTGTCTGCGCCCTCTGTGGCGGGATCAGTGGGAAAGACAGGGCCAACTTATAACTAGCGTCCCAGTGATTAGCTTAATTTACAGCCAACGCGGTGTATACCAGAGAAGAGCCAGCTATGTGACTGTCATCTCTTAGGCATGCAGCAAAGGATTAAGTAGAGAATATGCTCCATGCAGGCAAGCACATATATGTCATATTCACCAAGTTTTCTCTAGTTGCCAGCTCCAAGAATGGCACTCATTTGTTGCTCAGTAAATACTTGCTGCATGAAGGAATGAATAAAGCTTTTAATTCCAGAAGAACAGTTATAGAGATATTGACTTGTGAATACAATAGGCCAAGATAGATAAGTATGTGGCAAAAGATTTAAAAGTGAAAGGAAAGCTAAGATTAAAGTAAGGACCACATGGAATTCAGAATTAGTCACACCTAATAACTTGTTGAATCCTCCTATGCACTGGGTACCATTCGTGGGCTTCAAATCCTTCATTTAATTCTCTCAATCTTAGGAGGTAGCAATTAGAATTCCTGTTTTATAGATAAGGAAAAGGAAGTCCAGTCAGATTAAAGGCATGCCCAAGGCCACACCACTAACTGGTGATGTCTAACTGGAAGTTCCAGGGTGCCTTTCATGAGGGGAGAATGGGATGATTATGTACACAATATAAACTATCAGGGCAGATTTTGAAATAGCCCTCTGCAGCTCCACTGTGAAAAGCAGAGAAGGAGCTGGGTGCAGTGGCTCGTGCCTATAATTGCAGCTAATCAGGAGCCTGAGGGGGGAGAATTTCTTGACCCCAGGAGTTCGAGGCCAGCAACTGGGCAACACAGTGAGACCCCATCTCTTAAAAAAAAAAAAAAAAAGAAGATAGTACAAAATAAAGACTTGTTTTACATTAGGCCACATTTTAGTTTGTGATTGACTTTTGGCACTTGCAGGGACTTCATGTTTTTAGAGTCTGCACAATGGAATTGTAGTGTCTAGCCTCGGGCCTTATCAGTTTTTGACATTTAAGAAAATGAGGGGCAAGCCCTGATTCAGGAGCCCTGAAAAATAGTCTCACGTTCATCGCAGAGAGAGGCGGTGCACTGGGTTTCACCTCTGTGGTCAGTGAGTGCCTGCTCCTTCATGTCCTGTCCCAGGGCAAGCCAGCAACTGATTCTAGCAATAAGACAGCAGATGCCACACATCCCATCTTCCTCTGGGCTGACACTCACCAAGGACATTAGCATAGACAAGTGATGCTGGTTATTTATCCCCAAGAACATAGTCTTGTTCATCGTGGGTGTCTAGGCACGCTTCACAACACCATGCTGGGTTCCAAACACTGCCCCATGGCTGTCTGGGCACCTCTGTGTCATGATGTTATCATGCTGGACAGACTGGACAGACCCGTTTAATGTGTCTCTTATCCTCGCCCTCCAGGTCAAACACTGCTGAAGATAAATTTGTGTTCTGCAATGGACTTGTCCTGCATCGACTTCAGTGCCTTCGTGGATTTGGGGAGTGGCTCGACTCTATTAAAGACTTTTCCTTAAATTTGCAGAGCCTGAACCTTGATATCCAAGCCTTAGCCTGCCTGTCAGCACTGAGCATGATCACAGGTAAGCACCACCTTGCCAAAACCACATCCTCGGTTCTCTCCTTTCCTTTGTTAAGGGGATGCTGGCCCAATCGCCATTTTTCTGAAATCTGCTAAGTTTAACCTAGCTTAAACAAAGAAATATGCATCTATGACTTGTCATGAACTTCTAGGAAAGAGGATTCCTAGACTATTGGGTTACCATTGTCAACAAACCCAGCATATAAAAATCTAAGTTTTCACTGGAGCTCTGTTGACAGTTGGACTGGCTGCTTCAGGGTTATTTTACAAAGGGCTTCCAAAGATGATTATGTTAACCAGCCCATTCCTGTGGGAGCAGAGGTGACGAGTTGTCCCTTCTCCCCAGTCGCTGGCTAGTGATCCAATAAAAAGAACTACAGACATATAAAATACAACTTGATTTAATAACTTTGATTGGCAAAGGACAGAGAAAATGGGATATTTGTAAAAAGCCAAAATGGCTCCACTCAACAGTTTTTTAAAGTTAGGAACCAGAGCATAAAACATAAAAACATAATCAATTTATATATTATGCCTCTCTACATTTCCCCCTTTCTGTCTTTTGGGAGATAAAAGATCCCAAGGCAGGGTGATGGGAAGGCACGTTGAGCAAGAAAGGGAATACATCCCCTCCCTGCAGCTCCTGAGGACAGAGCCCAACTCCCTTTGCCCCTTTGTACTTTCTGAGTTTCCTGTTAGATCCTATCCTTTCCAGTCAGACTGGGGCTAGAGGGGGCAGTGATGGGGGTGGGGGCTCCAGAAGAGACCAACCAAGCCTGGGGCTCATCCCTGTCCTTTTGGTCGGACACAAGCACAGGCTACGCTGTGGGCTGAGGGCTGAAGTTCACATTTGATAGACTCTTAGCTGATAGTAAGTTTCTAGAGGACTAAATGTGTCCTCTGGTACAGATGTCCCCCTTCTTTCTGTTTCATCAGAAGTGTGCATTGGTTTGCCCAAGCATTGTTTACATGCATTTTCTTGGGCCATCTCTTACTAGCTAAAATGAGATGTGTCTTTGTGCCGTAAAAGTTTAGGCTGGTTCGTCATTTGCCTGATGACAGTTTGCATGAAGGCAAAGAAAAGGAAGTGGCATAGGTACAATTAGGAATCAGACCCTAGCCTGTTCCCTCAGCATTCCAACTGGAACCTGACTTCCTCCTGGTCTTTAGTCCAGGGATTTCCGAGAGAGCCATTAACAAAAACCTAGGCAGTCATAAAGAGTATGGATTCCACTTGGAGGATTTTCAAATGGCATCCTGGAACACCTGAAACAAATAAGCACACTTAAGGCACAAGCATATGACTCCAGCAGGACTGGAAAGAAACTGATTCAAAGCCTTCCTTTGAACTAAAGCTCTTCAGCTCAATTTCAAAACCATTTAGCTCTTCCTAGGACCGTTAAACATTCAAAGCTAGAAAGTATGGAGTTTAGTTCATTTTAAAAAGACAAAAAACAAAAACTAGAGCCAGCCTTGGCTTTCTGTAAACAAAATCAGTACATTGCCACATCTCTATAGAAATGGATGTTGAGTCTAGTTTATCAACATCAACACATGTTCAGCCAGGCGCGGTGGCTCATGCCTGTAATCCTAGCACTCTGAGAGGCCGAGGTGGGTGGATTGCCTGAGGTCAGGAGTTCGAAACCAGCCTGAGCAAGAGCGAGACCCCATCTCTACTATAAATAGAAAGACATTAATTGGCCGACTAACATATATATAGAAAAAAAATTAGCTGGACATGGTGGTGCACGCCTGTAGTTCCAGCTACTCTGGAGGCTGAGGCAGAAGGATCACTTGAGCCCAGGAGTTTGAGGTTGCTGTGAGCTAGGCTGACGCCACGGCACTCACTCTAGCCTGGGCAACAAAGTGAGACTCTGTCTCAGAAAAAAAAAAAAACATGTTCACTGACCTAGGCACTGTGTGCCATGTCATTGGGTTTTCAGAGATGATAATACACATCCCTGGTGGACAAAGACATGCAGGCTACTGCATGTGATAGAAGGTGTTGAGCGCCACTGTGGAGACATGAGAGTGGGTTCAAAGTGCCCAGAGACAGCAGGTGGGGGTGGTCTCCTCAGAAGAAATCACAGGAGCTTGTCCTTCATAAAAGCAGAGGATGTCTCCAGACTAAAATGGAAGGGGCAAGAATCCAGGCATAAATAAAAATTTTCCAAAGACTGCTGGGGAAGGAGGCAGTTTGGCATGACGGAAATAGCATGGACTTTGGAATCCACCCCAGATTCTAATCTTGGGTCCTGTATTTAATAAGTATTGAGAAATGTGCTTCATTTCTCTGAACTTCAGTTTCCCCATCTGCAAAATGGGGATAATCACATCTATTCCATGGGGTAGCAGTGAGGGTTATAGAAAATAGGTTAGTGATGTAGCCAGACTGGATTCAGGATAGGCACTAAATCCACCTGCATTCCCCCTTGGAGTGATGGTGACAGAGACACTCTCAAATTAGGCATATGTCTGCCCCTTCCCCTTGGGAACCCTGGATAGTCCAAAATCAAACTCAGTGGCATGAGGAAATAGGTAGTGGCTTTAGAAGGCAGTATGTTTGGTGAATATGTCCTTGGGCACTTGCAAGGGAGGCTCAAAGGAGGACAGTGATAATAAAGTAATAAAACCGTATTTACCTAGCACTTAAAATGGACCAAGTGCTTTACTGGGGTGGTGTCTTTGGGCCAGCCCCATGGGGTAGCTCCAGTTTCTGCCCTCATTCCTGCCAGACTGTGCAGTGCAGGTTGTTATAGGCGCTGTGGTTATAACCCACAACAAAGATAAGCCCTCCTCTCCGGACCTCACAGCACTCTCTTTTGATTTGCTGGTTGGAAAGGGGTTTGAAATGTGTGAAAACAGCAGGAAATGGCAAAAAAAAGTTGATACCTGGGAAACATGTGCATTGTTGTGGATATTAATTTTCATTTGAATATGGGCTCTTATGGATCTTGACTTCTGAATAAGCTCCATTGATCATAAAGGGTGATTGTAGAATATCAGCTGGGCTATTTGCATTCAGAAATTCATCCCAAAATTACCTACCGCAGAGAAGAACTCATGAAAGGTAAATAGGATCTTAGAAGTTTAACTGGTCTTACTTGTAGGAAAAGCATTAAATCTGGACAGTATTGTTGCTTTGCACAAACATAGGTTTTTCTTTCTTTTTTTTTCTTTTCCTAATTCTTTTTTTCTTCTTCCTCCTCCTTTCTCTGTGCCCCTCATGAAAACCTAGGTGATAAAGCGGGGCAGGAAATGGTTTCTTTCAGATCACTCCCCTTTCCTACAGTACATAGGAAGTTCTCCACAGTAGTGGTTTTCAAATGTTTTTAGGTCTCCAGTTTATCCACCCTAACCGTTGATATTTTGCTGGTACCACATCTCCAAAAGGGCTTTGCTTCTGATGGCATACCAGTGAGCTGATATCTGATCACAGTTAATTATGTTTAATAAGTACAAAGTCCTTCAAACAGAAAGTGGTCACTAAATTACCACTTTATAAATATCCATTCATTAGGTAATGAGGGCCTACTATGTGCCAGGCACTGTGACAGTCTCTGGGAATTCAAAGATGAGCCAGGCATGAATTCTGCTGCCAGAAGTATATAGTCTACTAGGAAATCATATGTAATTTTGATATAATGAACTTGATATATGGTGATTAGTGCTTAGGTCCTTAAAAGGGACTGATTCTGTGTAGGAGAAGTATAGATGACTGCCAACTTTCTTGGGTGGAAGTTGTTGATCATGAATGACCTCCCAAAGAGGTCGCATCTGGACATAGGAAGATACAAAGGACATTCCAAGGAAACAGAATAGCAAGGGCATGGCAGTGGAACACCTCAACACATTTTGGGGGAAACACATGCCCAGTGGAATTGTGTTATTCATGTATTAAATCACATATATAATCTAAGTAGAAGAAGGAGAAAAATGAAGAGTGCAGGCTATGACACTCCATGAATATATGTTCCTGGAGTGAGCATGAGAGAAAATCCATTGTGAGTCATGGTTTCTCTGCCTCTGGTAGTGAATACTGCAAGCATGTCCTGTGGTTTTGAGAAATTTAAAGGCTTTTCAGGGATAAAACTGATTATATATGATGTTTACCTTATGGCCTAATATTATGACTTAACCTCAGAGCAAAGTGCGTTTCCCATATAGTGACAGGGGAAATAAGATTGGAAAGGTAGTTTTGAACCAGATGACAGAGGGAATCTTTAGTGCCCACAATGCCATATTGTGAGTAACGACACTAAAAGAATGTTCCCCATGGCTTTCTCTTCCCTATTCAGGTGTTCTTTCAGGTGAGAAAATGACAGTCTTTTTCCTAGTCTTATTAAAACATGAACTCTAATAAGACTGAGGAGGAAGGAGGCCAGAAACAGGGCCAGAAAGCAGTGACACAGTGACATGGTGGAACCAGACAGGTGGCTGACCCTGCCACACCCTCCACCACCTGTCTTTCCAGAGCTCCCCCTGCTTACTCTGAATGGTTACCTGGTTACCCTGTTTTTGCATCAAATATAGCCATCGGCTATGCTGCAAGGAAAACTAAGTATAAATCCTGGCAGGGCAAAATAGTTAAAAACAAAAGCAGGGGGTTGGGGGAGTGTCATAGGATTTGGAGAGTGTCATAGGATTTGGATCTGAGTTCAGATCTCCACTCTGCAATCTGTGCGATCTTGAGTAAGTTCTTTGCCGTCTCTGAGTCTCAGCTTTCTCATTTCTCACAGGGATAGTGATGTCTACTCGCAGATTTCTTATAAAGATTGAATGAGCTAATGTGTACTTTGCAGAGAAAAAAATGTCAACAAATCTTCATTGTTATTATCCTATTTGTTTTACACACTTCTAGAAAGAGCTAGCTGTTCTAAGAACCCATAAAATTTTTCATGCATCCCTACAATTGCATATACCTATGTATTAAGGAATTTCTTTGAGTCTTTCTTTACCTGCTAGACTGTGGGTTTCTTAAGGACAGGGAGAATCTTATTT